GCCCCCAAAACCCCTCGCCGAGTTGTCTACCACAGCTTAACCATACCAACGCCTTCCTCCAGCCTTTTCAATCATCCTACATCACGATAGGAGCCTTGCAACTCCATTGCCTTGTTGTGCTATCGCTATCCAGCCATCCTACATCGCCACAACCCACTGCATTCTCCTACTGTTATCATCCCACTATCCCACTCTCTAACCACCCTTTGTTGTCTCTTAAGAGGATCAAATCTTCACCGATCACCACAACCCTCACCATTGAGTTTGTGTTATCAATAATTGCAATTTGAGTTTTCATGAGTCGATTGTAATTTTCCTATTCGAATTAAGCAATAATATTGATTTTTTTGTTTTTGGGATTAACTCCGATATCAACTATAATGAAATATCTAAGTACTTTTCAAATAATTTCTATTTTTGCCTAGATATTGATGTTCTAATTTAACATTCTAATCAAATCCTAAATTTTTTAATTCTATATTTATTGGTAATATAATTGAACATCATAATTTAAATTATAGTTTTTAAATTTCATTCATTAATTATGATAAACGTTCTAGCAATAATAGTCGTTTAATACTTATTTGACTTCCAATTATTTCTCAATACAAATCATTTTAAATTAATATTTATTTTATTAAACATATAAGTTATTAATATTTAAGTTACAGCTCGCCCTAAAATTATAATTTGAATATTATCATTTTAAAATCATATCAACTTACAATATCATAATTTATTGTTTAATTTAAAGCTGACATTATTTCTAAATAAACTTAAATCAAGGTTTTTCTATGGCAATTTACTAAAAGAAATAATTTTAAATAAGCATGTTTAATTTCATCATTTAAACAAATTAAATTGACATATAATCTTAAAAAAAATGTCTAATCTCACTTTTTTGGTTTGGCTCGCGATTTGCACTAACGGCTCAAACTCCCTACCTTTTTGTGTGTACCATTCAACTTTCTCGGCAAGCACACTATTCAACTTACTCGTCAACCGACACACAAATTGTCATTGCCTCAACTCACGCAAGAACTGCACACATCGCTATCCACATCCTACATGGAACATCGTCGTTCATTCTTCTGGCAAGCCTTGCTCAACATCCAAATTGCAGGCACAAGCTGCTCACATCGGCTTCTTCCCTCACGCAACTTCCTCATTCTTTCGATAGCTCATTTTCAATCCTAATTTATCTCGTACCACGCCACCTTAACTTCCCCTCTATTACCTCCTCTGAACTCACTCGGCCTACATGAGGGTTATGCCTCTCTTCGTCTTTGCCTCCCTTCTAAATAATGAAGAACCTATCCTCTACAATTCATCTCCTTTGCACATTAACCGGCTAGAGTCAGATATAATATCCCGAGGTGTTACATATTTTTTGCAACAATTGACAGCCTACCAACAATCTATTTTATAATTCATTCCTCTAAAAGCAAATTGTGTCCTCTCAAATTCATCTCCTTTGCACATTTATTAGCTAGAGTCAATTACAATCAAATTTATAAACAATGCGCTTAATGCGCGAAGCGAAGCGACCCACTTCGCTTTGCTATCATGCAGTATATGTGAGGGAAGCAAGTGTTTCGTGATTAAAAGCTTGGTTTAGCAAAGCGGTTTGGTTCATGATTGAGCAAGGGAAATAAAAAAGGCGTGTAATTAGGTACCTTCGAGCTAGTGTTTGAAGGAGCGCATAGAGCAGACGGTATTCAAAAGAGCTATGCTAATGTTGAAGAGTTCGAGGCGTCTAAGCATCGTCTTCGATAGTTCAAATTTGACGCTTCACTTTGAACTCGAAGGTTGTTGGAAACTTGGAATTTGCTCTGAACACCGCCATCTTCTTCGCTTCAGTTTGAACTTTGATAATTCAACCTCAATTTAGATTCGTGCATCTTTTTGGATGATTTTAGAATTTATTCTGACAGCCACCGTCTTCAATAAGGAGCACAAGTGGAGTTCACATTGGAGTTAGAGTTCCAGGTGCCCGAGCATAGTCATTGACAGTTGGACTTCGACCTAGAGTTCGAAGTGGCAGTTTTCCCCTTCAACTCAAGCCCCGAGTTCAAAGGAGAGATGCGTTTTATCTATGTTTTGTTTCTTTTGTGCTCTTACCAAACTAAATTTTCTCGTGGGTTTTAAATGATGAGCATTTTAAAATTTGATGATTGTCTTCCATCTACCATGTGATTCTTGAGTATTGCTCAATTTCTTGAAGCATATCCTACAACTATAATACATTTATTCTTTAATCTTTATATTTAGAATATAAATTTAGAATTATTTTATCTACATTGGGAGAGATTTATCGTCTATCGACCAAAAAATTTAGATTTGAGAACTTAGCATAAATTTGTGAATGATCAGTATTAAAGGAAAAAAAAATTACGGATAATAACATAAATCATTTAAAATGTTGTTATTTACAAATTAGAACCTGTGTGATTTTTTGAATCACAGAATTTATATATTTAAGCGTGTCACAATCAAACCTTTGGGAATTTCATGAAAATGAAAAATTTGGGTTTGGGTTTTATCATGAATTTAAATTTTTTAGTGAGAATTTGAAAGATGGATGAAAGAGGGTGTTGATTTTGTAAATTGCAATGTTTCGAGGGTTGTGCATTGAAAATGTTAATTACCTGTACTTAATGCTTTAGTGATTAGCATGGGCGCTTTAAATCAAATTTTATTGTAGAAAAATTTAAATTTTGTTGAATTATAAGATTTTTTCTACAATATTTTGATCTTTTAATTATTGCAATATACTATTAAAAATTATTTGTAATTTTAATTTGTAGATTCATTCTCAAAGTTAGTCTTCAAATTAAGTAGTAAACAACATTATTTTCTCTTTATATGAAATTTTTAAATCATATTTTATCTTTTATATTTGCTTATGAATGTATTTTTACATTAATATATGTATATAACTTATTAACACTTTGGTAACAGTGTCATTGCCGGGAACCAAGTCCCGAATGTGAAAAGTGGAGGGTTGTGTTACGTAGTCGACAGCCAAATAAAAATTTGTCGAAAAATTGTGACATGAAGCATTTAAATCATTGTGTAAATGCTAGGGCGTCCCCTAGAAGCAATGTGTTGCATAGGCCGAATATAGTAAAAAGTGTTCAAATGCAACTACACCTGCGCTCAAGTGTAGTATCCAATAAATAACAGTTCCCACATTATGTATAGTTGCGGTTAAAGAAATTAGCAATTGAAACTAATATTAGAAAAAAATCTTGGAATATAGACACTCTCACAGGTAAATTAATGAAATTATTTGATATTATGATTGATAGAAAAATAAATATCTTATGTATTCAAGAAACTAAATGAATTGGAGAAAATACTAAAAAGATTGATAGCTTAAGTTTAAAACTTTGGTTTCAGTTAGGAGTCGCACTAGAGATGGTGTAGGAGAAATTATATATATAATTTTGAAAAATAATGTTCAAAAAATTAATAGAATTAGAGATAGAATTATAGTCCTTAATATTGTTTTTTATACTAATATTTTTAATAGTATAAGTGCTTATGTTGACCAAGTAGGTTTAGATGTTGGTTCTAAAGAAAACTTTTATAATAACCTCAAAGAATTAAAAAAAATGATACATTTTAAAGAAAGAATTTTTATTAGAGAATATTTAAATGGACATGATGGTAGAGTGGTAAAAGATTTTAAAAATATTCATGATGGCTATGGTTTTGGAGAAATTAATAAAGATGATAAAATCATATTAAATTTTGCTTCAGCATATGAATTTGTTATTCTAATACTTTATTTAAGAAAAAATATGAGCATAATATTATTTATAAGAATAGATCTAATAAAACACAAATTGTTTAATTTCTTATGAGAAGAAGATATCCTCGATAATTTAAAAATTGTAAGGTCATTCCAAGTCAGAATTTAAGTACTCAACATCAAGTATTAGTTCTGAATTTTAAGATAAAATTTGTAAGATAAAGAATACTATGAATCGTTATCATAGAATTTGATGAGACCACCTAAAAGACAAATAAAATTATTTTTATGAGTAAACATCGTGAGTCTGTTTGGGATCACTTTTTGTTTTTTATTTTTATTTTTGTTTTTAATTTATTTTAATTTTATTTTGTTTTCTATTTTCTACTTTTAGAAAACGCGTGTGTTACTGTTACGATTAATATATTTTTAAAAACGAAATATTTAAAACATGTCTGGTTTGGTATTTTTTATTTTTTTAAGAGAAAAAAAACTATATTTTTTATAAAGAAAAACTATGTTTTTTATAAAACGGTTAGGTTCAAATGTGCTACAGTATTAAGCTATATCGCCCATGGCGCATACATTGTCTTTCTTACTCTACCCAATACAAAGCATTACCTGTGGGCAAGCTGGTGGTGTCCATCACTCGAACATTCTCACTTTTACAAACTAAATAAACTATAAGAAACAATTTGCTTTTTGAAACTTGCACCACAAAGCATTACCTGCGGGCAAGCTGGTGGTGTCCATCATTCGAACATTCTCACTTTTACAAACTAAATGAACTATAAGAAACAATTTGCTTTTTGAAACTTGCACCCTTTTCCAAAATCATAATCATGATCATTATTATCTTTATCCCAACTATTTGGGTTCGAATTATTTAAAATAGTAGTATTTACATCACCTAAAAAGCTGTAGAAAAACTCAAAAATGAAAAAGTCAATGACATTGCAGAGATTGCAATATAAAAAACTTAGAAGCAAGCAGATATGATGTGAAATAACCTACAAGTAACTAGCAATTCATAGAAAAATACAAAATAACTAAACCAAGTTGGCATGGCAAGATAACCAACCAAAATATGCAGACAAGCATTTTAAGAACGATAAACTGATAGTACTTTTTTTGGTATTACAATAGAACTATCAGTGCATATTGCCAGCCACGAAATACACAAATGAGTTAAGCAAAAATGACTATAGTGAAGAATGCCACCAACCTATTCTTAAATACTATGAATGAAGTGAAGTGAATTAAGGCTAAAATTATAGATTTGTCAAATAATACGGACCCTGGGAAATAAAAGACCGAAAATAACCTTTTTGATAACTTGCAAACGATGATTATCAGAAATGTTTCCCTCATAATCCCTCCTAAGCCGCTTTGCCAGGTATCTTGAACTTCCTAACTTTGAGTAGTCTACCTTGCCAGAGAAAGACTTGGGCAGCATTTCTGTTTGAACAAAAATGGCCGGCAACATCGCTGTCGGTAATTTTCTCAATAACCAACTTTTAATGGATGCAATCAGCTCCTCGTTTTCATATTTATTTACACAGGTTACACCTTCAGAACACTCATTAATTGCTTTAACAACAAAGAAAGCCTTAACAAGGTCACAGTTTCCATTGGTGTTTTCAAAAATTACTGCAGCATCTCTTATGTCTGGATGCTCCCTTAGCACATTTTCAATCTCCTCCAACACGATACGTTGTCCTCTGACTTTAACAATACGATCATTTCTTCCAAGGAAGACAAAATCACCACTCGGGAGACGCCTAGCAATATCACCAGTTTTGAAATGCAAGGGAGCACAGCCATCATTTAGTGGCTGCTCGTCAGAAATCTCACCAAGGTATCCCGCAAATAAGCACATCCCAGTAACACATATTTCACCGACATTATCTTCGCTCTTTTTGTCAAGAAGATTAATTTCACAATTAGATATAGGTTGTCCAATTGGTACGCTACTTAGCTGCCCAGCTTCCAAAATATTTGTCATCTTTTTGCAATCAAAGAATGCACAATCACCAGCAACCTGGAAATTGGAAAATATACTAGAATTAAAAAATTAAAAAGAATACAAACATCATTATAACTATTTTTAATCAATGAGAAGCAAAAAAAGTAGAAAAAAAAGCATAAGTGAGTCTCCATGTCATTCAACATCTAATGAATTGCAACAACATTAAAAAACCAGCATCATCAGATCTCAGGATACCTTCCTAATCACTAAACTTATCCTTAACATAGCTAATACCTCGCAATAAAAAGGAAAGTTTAACAAGATTTAACTAATCAGCTTCACCCTCCTCCATAATTTCCTAGACACGAATCATATCCCATATTCAAATTCTTGGTGAAATGAGCCAGCTCTAACATGTTTACTGATTAAAATAAATAAAACAGCAATTAAGGTGCTAAACAAAGAAATGAAATATTGAATGAACAGCTTTAACTAAAATAACTAGTTTCATGTAGTGATCAAAATTAATTAGAGGAAAAGAGAGAATCTTCTAAAAATTAGAAGTTCATTGGCAAAAGAGGCAATGAGGCCAAGTATTCAACATGAAGAAAAAAGCATGTTCGTGATCTACTCCGAGATAATAAAAGAAATGTAGAACAAATACTTCCAAACACATTATAGACTAGATATTTTTTTTTAAACTTCACCATTTACAGCAGAAAAACCTATCAATAAAGGAGTACACCATTGAGTTTGGCCAACTCATGTTGAAGTTAGAGAGTTAGTGGAGCTAGAGGAGAACACCATAGTAAAATATCTAGGAGGATTGAGGTCTTCAATTGGCAATGTGGTATAGTTACAGTTACATTCAACCTTAAAAAATGAACAAACTTTGACCCTAAAGATAGAGAAGCAATACAAGAGCATCAGATTCACTCCACCCTTCCAACATGAACATGGCTCGATCATGAGGTACCCTGATTTGTATGTCAAACCTACACCACATAAGAAGCCAGCTCTAGAAAAATCCAACACTGGCCAGGCCAACAATGCCAAAACATTCTATGCTAAGAAATGTTTCAAGTATCATGAATATGAGCATATTGCATCCAACTACCAAAACAAAAGAGTGATTTCTTTCAAAGAATGAGATACTGTAATAGAAGTAGAGAGGGCAGACTCTAGAGAGAAAAATAATGAAAAGAAGTACAAATTATACGCAAATGATGGTGAGATTTTTGTAGTTCGAAAAGTTCTCTTGATCGAGCCCAAAGAGGGAGCAACAATAACTAAGACATAACATCTTCCATAATCTTTGTACTGTGAAGAGAAAGATATGCAATCTCATTATAGATGTAGAAAATTATGATAATGTAATGTCACATAGATTATTAACAATTTGACCCTCACTACCCAAAATTTTTACCTTCATATTATCAACTTGGTTGAAGAAGGGAATAAAAGCAGTATTGACAATAAGTATCTAGTAAATTCTTCATTAGAGATGAGCTATAGAAAGAAGTGTGATGTAATGTCATGTCTATGAATGTCTGTCACATTTTGTTTGGTCAACCATGACAATATGGTAGAGGCACGATTCACGATGGCCACAAGAGCACCTAGTTTTTATTAAAGATGAAAAACACAGTGTACTCTAGTCTATGAATGTTTGTCACATTTTGTTTGGTCAACCATGACAATATGATAGAGGCACGATTCATGATGGCCACAAGAGCACGTAGTTTTTATTAAAGATGAAAAACACAGTGTACTCTAGGAATTGAAGGAATCAACACTACTAAATACTCAGATGAAAATAAGAGCTATAGTTTTACTCGCCATATGAGACTGGGCTTGGTGACGTTTGAGGGCAACGAGACGGGGCCGATATATGAGATAATACAGCCTCTATTGGAAAAGTTTCAGAATATTATGATTGAAAGCCAATAACTTGAATTACCACCCTAATGTGAGATTTAAAATATCATAGACCTCATGCTAGGATGAATGCCCACCAACAGACCAGTCTACATGGTGCGGGAAAGTATGAGGAACAGTAAAAATATGTTGAGAATTTGTGGTTTCGCAGACTAGTTTATGAGAGTAATAATTTGTATGTTATGCCAGTTTTAATTGGGCCCATGGATGAATTTTGGCATATGTGCATTGATAATAGACAAAATAATATGATTAGCATTAAGGGCCCGTTTGGGGCAGCTTATAAGTACAGGCAATGTTTTCAAAACGAAGTTGTTTCGTTTGGAAAGTGTGTTTAGGGTGAATTTTAAAAAATGTCGTTTTCGATGCTTTAATAACCGCGGCCGCGTTTCGTTCGCGACTTTTACCTTACTTGCCCTCATCTCTTCCGCGACACCCTTCCTCTTGGGACCCCCTTCCTCCCGCGACAACCTTCTCTCCCGCGACCCCTTCTCTCCCGCGACCAAAATTTCGCGATAGCTGTGATGGCAACAAAGGGATCGAGCAGGCTATGAAACTCTCATCTTCTCAACCGGGACGAACAGAGACCACCGAAACTCCCATCTTCTCATCCTTCCGCACCACTCCGACCAACGTAACAATGTTCGTGCCCTACTTCCTCTTCGTTCGTCCCGGATTTGTCGATTTGCAGGATATATCGCCACTTTGAGTTATCAAGTTGATCCATAGGACTGACTTAGGAGGCATAAAACCAATATGTAGTGTTTTTGTTTTGTTTTCATTATGTTCTTTTCATCTTTTTGAAAAGATAGATATGTGGGATAGTTAAGAGGAAAAGCTCTTAAGATGAGAGAGATAAAAGAAGATATATTTATATAATTCAGAGTGGGTTTTAGGCTATAAGAGAAAAGGGGTACAAGATCGCTTGTAATCCTAGGCTCTCAATGGGTAGTTTTAGTCCTGGAGACAGTCAATTTAGCCTTAAAAGCACAAAGTTCAGCACACTATATCATTGTGAATGCAAAAGAAGGAAAGTAAACGATTTTCTTATTTTTAAATTTTTGTGATAAAATAAAAGTTTTTTAATTTTTACTGTTTTGTAGAACAAGTAATCATTTAAATGTTGGAAAAATCTGATATTTTTAAGTGCTGATTAAAAAAAAGTTTAATGTGAGCGACAAATAAACAGTAATTTTCTAGCCTTCATATAATTAATTTAATGCAAGCAATTGACTAACGGCTAGCAAAATATGTTTCAACTAGCTTTCTTTCACCACTGCCAAAAAGATATAAAGCAAATTGATTTTGTATTAGTGGAGGGGCTATTTTGATATTTGGAGCACACTATCATAATTTTTTCACTTCAATTATTTTGATTGTTTTGAGAGGACTTGACATTCTCTTTTTGGATGAACTGAAATGTTACGTGTTAAAATTTCTTTCATGTGTAGGGTAGTTAAATCCAAGAAGGTTACTTGAATTCCATGATTCTATTTATAAATTAGTTCTTTATCACATTTCTTTAAGATTTTTTTGAAGTCAATCATAGTGTGTTCTGAATGTCAATTTTGAAGCTAATCATCCTACTTCTTCAACATATTTTTTGAAAATTAAGCATTTATTATACAGAGGCGGTAGGGTACTTGTGCTGCATTAAACACTAATTATAATGACAAGTCTTAATCGCACTATAACTGTGTTGCCTCAAAGATAGTTTGAGAATAAAGAAGTTTTTTTCTTTAAAAGTCGAAGACTTTCTGATGCTATGATAAAACTTTGATTATGACAAAGCTTACTTGAACCATCACCACGTTCTTAAAATGCCAAACACTACTTGAGAAGTTATGAACTTTATTCTTATACGATTCTGATAAGAATTCTTGCTCAGGTCTTTTATTTTTACCACACAACCCTCTTTCCACACCCACTTCCATTTCAGTGATTTTATAAAGTCTCCAAAGTCTGTAAATAAATTTTCATAGAATAACCATTAAAGAACATCTTTTTCTTTTCAGTCTTTTTCTCATGTATAGTATATGTAAGTGTTTCCTTCTCAAATTAGGTCTGGCGATCTTAGGTTACTTGGAGCATTATTTCATTAACATTATGCAGATTTCCCTTTGCTTTTCCCCCAAAACGTAATGTAGAATGAAATGGTCCCCCTTTTACCGTTCTTGTGAACTTAAACTACTCAAACATGCAATCACCGTAGATTTTCCTTATTGTTAACCTCACATTTACTGGGACATATTCCACTAAAATTCCGTGGATTATTGATTTTTTTGTAATAATTGAATTCTTTTTGTTCTATCTTTGATTTTTCATAGTTCTTGATGTTGACCCTTATTGATTTGCTTTCTGCATATTATTTCATGTTTGTTGATTCTTAAAGCTTCCCTGATATGTCCTCTTTTTTCTTAATGAAAGGAATTGATCATTCATTAAGCACATGTATAAATGATTCAGCTCATCAAAGTGATCAAATAGCTATGGAGGAAGATCTTCAAAATTTATATTGCTTGCTAGGGAAGTTGCAAGAGCAAGGAAGATACATTGAAGAGAGTTTACAATCCGTTCATTCAGCCTTTACAAAAATGAAGTCAGGTCATCTTATTGAGTTTTCCAATGTTCTCATTAAAGAATTGGTCAGACAGTCTGAAAATTTACATGCTTTACTAAGAGGTCTTTTAGGAGGAGTTTCTGCTTCTGATTCAACGGCCGCTTCTGGTTTAACGGCCCAATTCACAAAAGAAGGATTTATATGGCTGCTAAGGTGTTGTTTGATGATAATGCAGTTTCTTGAGTTTGACATGAGTTTTTTGTGGGAGAAATGTGGGGTTCTATTTAAGATCCTTGGCAGTTTTTTTTCTCATAACTTGGTGTTGAATTCTCATGGCTGCCGTGTAGTGCCTGCTAGAAACTCATTTTTGCAGTGCTGCAATGGGTTCCTTAGAGGGATGGAGGAAGCTAATCAACTATATAGTTTCTTTTCTTTGATATTTGAGGTAATTCTGTAGATTTTGAACTCTTCGAGTAATTCTTCATGTCATTTATGTTTCCAAATCATATCAATGCTCCATCTGCAGTTGAAGTTGTTCGCAATGATCATAGCAATGAATAGGGTTTATAGCAAT